TTTGACTAATGTAAGTTTGAAGTCCACTTTGTCTGTTGTAAGTATTGTGACTCCTGGCTATTTTCAGGGCCATTAGTTTGGTAAATCTTCCAGCCTTTCACCCTAAGTCAGTGTTTGTTTCTGTCAATAAGATGGGTTTCTTGTAAATAACAGATTGTCAGATCTTCCTTTTTAATCCAATTTGCCAAACGATGTCTTTTGATGGGGAAGTTGAGTCAGTTAACATTCAGTTTTAATATTGATAGGTGTGTGTGGATTCCTGCCATTTAGTTATTTTTGTTGTATAAGGATTTGATTGTGTGTAGTTGATTCAGTACTACTCTCTGATTAATTGTCTTTTCTTCTCCTGCAGTTTAATACTTCCTGTCTTCTAGTGGTTTTGTTTGTTTTCATCTTCTGTGTGTAGAATTCCTTGTAGAATCTTCTATAGTGGTGGCTTGGTGGTCATGTATTGTTTTAGTTTTTTGTTGTGGAAGATTTTTATTGCTCTGTCAATACTCTGCTCTCTGAGTAGAGTATTGTAAGGCTGAAGTTATTTTCATTCAGTGCCCTAAATACCTCACTCCATGCCTTTCTTGCTTTTAAGGTTTCTGTTGAGAAATCTGCTGTAATTTTGATGGGTTTACTTTTATATGTTATCTGTTTTTTCTCTCTTACAGCCTTCAATATTCTTTTTCTGTACTAATTTTAACAATAATAAGCCATGGAGAGGCCCTATTTTGGTCAAGTCTGTTTGGTGTCCTGAAGGTTTCTTATGCCTGAAGGGGCAACAATTTTTTGAGATTTGGGAAATTTTCTGCTATTATTTTGTTGACTATATTACATATCCCTTTTGCTTGTAGCTTTTCTCCCTCTTTGATGCCCATGATCTCAGGTTTGGTCTTTTGATGGAGTCACTGAGGTCATTCGTATTCCTTTCACAGCTCTTGAGTTGTTTGACTAAGAGTTCTTCTGTTTTTTCTTTAATATCTATTTTATCTTCAAGCCCTGAGATTCTGTATTCCACTTGTTCTAGTATGCTAGAGTGGCCTTCCACTACATTTGTTTAAGTAACTAAAGAGACTTTTTATTTCCAGTATTTCTAATTGATTCTTTTCTTCTAAGTTTTCCATATCTTTGTTAAATTCCTCTTTCAAATATTGTGTTGTCTTCTTTTTTTATAGTCTACTTTGTTTTACTTTGGCATTTATTGAAGGCCTCTCTGAGTTCATTTAATTGTTTCTTTGTCTTCTCAAGTATTTTATTTGTGGTGCCTTGCTATTTCTTGAGTGCATCTTGTTCTTTCTGCTTAACTGTGTCTTATAGCTTCTCTATGAGTTTCTCAGTGAAATCGTTCATGATTTCCTTTTTGAGAGATTTTTTTTGTAGGGGTCACTGAGCTCACTGGTGATATTTGTCATTGTTCTGTTTGGGTCATGAACTGGGTATTCATTTTCTTCATTTCCCACTAAATCCTCTACTGAATTGTAGAGTGGGGTTTCCTTGCCTTCTTCTCCCCAAGCTTTTAATTGATGCAGTTCTCATATGTTCTTGAATGGCTAGTTGGTGGTTTTAATTACTTGTTTTCTTTTCCTTGATTAATTTTTGTGTTTTGACGGGGCTTAGTTGTTAGCTAGATTGATGTGTTATTTCTGTCCCTGGCCTGGAAGTATAAATTAGCAATAATAAATTCACAGGTTCAGTGCCAGACCAGTTGTTTATATATTCTACAAAATACACCTTGGTGATAATATCTGTAAACCATGGGAGCTGGCGAAGCATTGGTTGTTTGGCTAGAGATAGAAACTTGGGTAATTAGTAAAGGTGGCCCTAAAGGTGGGGAGCAAAAGGGAGAGAGTGGTGGGAGTGGTAGAAGTATGGGGGCTGCTGGGTTTTGGGACCCTTGTGTGTGTTTGTGTGTAAACTCCACTGTTGTCGTGGAGGGTTCTTGTGTCAGGGATGGCAGAAGGCTTGTACAGTAGGCCAGTCAGTGGGTGGTAAATGTGGAGGAGGGAAGGGTATGTGGTGACAGGTAAGGGAAAGATAGGAGGGGGAGGCAAAGATGGGAGAGAGAGTGGCAGAGAAGCAGGAGCTCTGTGGTCATCTCACCAGATGGCTGGCTTTTGAGCAGTATTTCATTCCTTCTGTCCACAGGGCAGGTTGCAATTGGGACCTGTGGTAGCTCACTACCAGTTTGTGCAAGGTGGTCCGATTTGTTGTTTTCACCAGGCAGCAGCTGTATTGCCTTACAGCTGCAACTATGTCTGGTCAGCTTACCCTCCCAGCAAGGTGGGGCAATCCAGTGTTGTGTACCACCCTCAGTCCCAGGTGACTAGCTCAGCAATCTGCCATGCCCCTGCTTTTGGAAGTTGGCATGTCACTCCACCTTGCTCTCAGCTTTTGTTCCTCACCATGCCTCTGCTCACTGAGAGTTTGGCTCCTTGCCCCACCCCATTGTCTGAGGTTGGTTCAGTTCTACCCCATCCCTACTGTCAATGGTAGATTACAATTCACTGTCTATGTTTTTCAATTTTGTCCCAGGGTGGGAGGATTCAATCTGCCCATGAGCTGTGCTGGATTATGTTCCCAGGGTGTAGGTGGGGGAGCTGCGTGTGGTCTGTGTTGCTAACCTGTTGGGTCTGTGTGTTTATGAAGGCAGCTTTGAAATTGGCCAGCAGGGAGAAATGGCAGGTGGCTTTTCTCAAGGCAGACACTAACTGGGACTGAGTGCAGCCTGGTGAGACATAGTTTGACTTTCCTGGGTTGTGGTCCAGTATGTTGTAGGGTTTGGTTCTGTTTGATGCTCTATCTTCTGCTTTTTGAAAAAAAAAACAAGGAAAAGGAAAAGAAAGAAAAGGGAAGAAACAGCCAGGGGACTTTTTCCCAGGGAAGATACGCCTTAGTGGCTGTGTCATACTGGGATTTTCCTGGCTGTTAGGTGCAACTAAAAGCATTTTAAGGGTCAGTCCTTGAATTTTATGTGCACCCTATGTGTTGAAGGTTATTAAGTTGGCTAGAAAGAATCAGAATTACCCAAATATAGCTCCTACATCTTGAAGTGATTTTAGAAATCATGGAGTTCAGGAATTCTGATTCCCTATCCTGTCTGCCATCTTGGATCCTCCCTCCTTTCTTTGGACGTCATTGTGTCTGAGTGTTGGGCTGTGTTTGCTGTGCATGTATTTGGTTTATAATGAAAACAAGGCTTAGGATCAAGCTGATACACTCGAAACTGTACAGTGGCAAGACGGCTGTTGTATTATTAGTGTATGCTAATTCAAAAATAAAATTTTTTAAAAGGCCAGAATCAATTCCTTGATAGCATTATGGGGCTACTGAATTAACTCCTTGTGAAGTCATGACTCATGAGTCACAAATTGGTTTTACTTGCTTCTCCCTGAGCTGTGTTTCTGCCTCTTGCTAGGGAAGCCAGGCGGACTGTCCCCTGTTCCTGTGTCATTTGGGATGGTCACAGAGCCTTTCAGGGATCCATTTCCCTCCTCTGTATTCCCTGACAAGGTTGTTGGGAAGGTTAAATAGCAAAGTAATACAGGAAAGAAGCACTTATTGAACCTTTCTTATTTTTGGCATTGTGCTAAATGCTTTGTATGTTTCAATAACAAAGGCCACAGTAATGGTGACTAGTCAATGAAGTAAAGGTGTTTTCTCACTTTTTTCCCCATTCATCAATATATTTGATATCATGGAAAAAAAAATAAACTAATGTGTTCTTGTTTTTGACAGCAATGCTTGTAGAAGAGAGCTGGCTTGGGGGTCCACTTAGTTCACAATAAAGCACAATGAATATTATTCTCTAGAAATAAGTACTGATAAAAGTGGTGTGTAAAGAAGATAAGTTAGAGAAAAGAGAAAGAGAGAAGTTCCATGAATTGATCAGGAAGCTATTATGATTCACGTAGCAGGTGATAGGGTTTAAATTAAAATTTAAATTCACTCCCACTTGTTCAAATCTCAAAACGCAGAAATACTTAATTTAAAAAACACATTGTACATTTTAGAACAAGGATTATTGATGTCATTAATAACTGCTGGAAGAATTCTGCATGCGTAAGTGACTTCTAGATCTCAGGGATCAATCAATTTATGTTCAATCCTATTTTGCTCTTGGTTGTTTTTTGGAAAAGTAGCCTTATAATATAAAAAATTTCAACCCACTTAGTATTCATAATTATCAGTTAAATAGATTAGCCAAGCAGAAGTGACTCCCTTCTATATCTCTGTGGACAAATGAGTAGCTTCATTATATTTAGAAATTAGGTGTTCCTCATATTTCTTGATTTGGCAGACTTGTGGATAATTTACACCATATTATCATAATTTTCTTTTTTAAGGAAAGATTTTTTTGGATCTGTTTTGTTACCTGACTGCAAATATTCTTTTCCATATCAGAAAACAGGCCCACATATTTCAGGTGACATTTTCTATAACTAGTGGAAGGTAGAATTGTGGAGAGAAAATACCTAGGAAAAAGCTATCTGTCAGATAACAACAGAGCAGTTTAAAAGAACAAGCTCTGGCAAATCATAGAGTGAAAGAACAAAAGAAAAGAAACAAGAAAGAGATAATGACATGCCACTGTACAAGGGGACCAGGACCAAGGCTGGGCAACTCATTACAAGAACAGGCATAAAACCTCGAATGAGTATAAGGTCAAAAACAGAATTGTCACTTAGGACCTCAATTTCTAGAAACAAATCATATGTGGCCTGGTTGTTGTCATCAAAGGTTATTTCTTGCCCTCTCATCATCTTTTTTATTGTATGTTTTGATTGATTTCTTGGATGCACAAAACAATAGGAAGCCAGGAAAAATTACTGGCCATGTATTTAGATATGAGTTAATGCTAGAGTTTCAAATACTGTGAACCAGAACATAAAACCTTGTAAACTCATCAGTGAGCCCTCCCCACAGAAACATGCCATTGTAAACAGTTTTAAATTATGAATATGAAAAAGGACACGTTTGCTTTTTTCTTACTTCCTCTTTTTTGTCTTTGATAGGTGAATGTTAGATAACATCCAGCTTTTCTGATCCTCAGGAACTCTTCAAACTTCCAATATTCATGCTGAGGTTAGTCATCATTTCCCAAAGACTTTGCTGTTTTGGAAAACTCTGTTTCACCATTGGCCCTAAGTGTAAATAGCATGGCATTCACATTTTTTTTTGGTGGCACTGGGGTTTGAACTCAGGGCCTCACGCTTGTTAAGCAGGCACTCCTACTGCTTGAGCCACTGTGCCGGCCTGGCACTCACATTTTAAACATCTTTTGAGTACAACATCTCGTTGACCACATGCATTTTTATGACGTTGTGTGAGTATTTACGTGACAATTAAGATAGATACTGTCTACTGTTCTTTTGGGGTTTACAGTGAGGAGAAGTTGGTTTTTCCTTTCTTTTTCTCCCAGCTTTCTTTCTTTCCTTCTAACTTTCTGGCTACAAGGTCCATCTATTCTGTTCTCTCTCCAGCTTTATTAAGGTAGAATTGACAAGGAGGAATTGTATATATTTAAGGTGTACAGTGATGATAGTTTGATACATGTGATGTTTACCACAGTCAAATTGATGAGCACATCTTTCACTCCTTGTGTGTGTGTGTGTGTGTGTGTAGAGGTGGGGAGGAGTGCACTTAAGCGCTGACCCTTTAGCACATTTCAAGTAAACAATACGCTATTGATGTCAAGCATGGTGGTTCATATCTGTAATCCAGCTACTTGGGAAGCAGGTTTAGCAGGATTATGGTTTGTGGCCAGTTGGGCAAAAATGTTAGTGAGCCCCTGTCTCCAAGAACAAGGCAGTAGGGTGGTGCATACCTATAATGTCCGCTATGTGGGAGCCATAGGTAGGAGGATTGTGAGCTGAGGTTGGCCTGGACAAAACATGTGAAAAATAGCTAAAGCTGAAAGGGCTAGAGATGTGGCTCAAGTGGTAGAGTGCTTGCCTAGCAAGTGTGAGGTCCTGAGTTCAAACCCCCAGTATCTCAAAAACCAAAACCAAAAACGCAACAGTATTATTAACTGTAGCCACCAGGGGCACATGACATGGTCGGGACCTTTTTATGTGATCACTGAGAGCTTGTATCTTTTGTCACTATCTCCCCATTCATCACCTTGCAATGCTGCCCCAGCCCTAGGCGGCCATCGGTCCGCTCTGCTTCCGTGATTTTGAGCTTTCTAGATTCCACCTGTGTGTGAGATCATGCGATACTTGTCTTTCTGTTCCTGGCTTACTTCATGTAGCATAACACCCCTAGGCTTATCTGCTGCTGTGAAGGCAGGAACTCCTTCCTTTTCAAGGCTGAATAGTAGTCCATTGTTCATATGTGTAAACTCGTTTTCATTTGTCCATGGATGGACACTTACTTTGTTTCCATTTCTTGACTATTGTCAACGACGCTGCAATGAACATGGACTGCAGACGTCTTCGAGATGCAAACTTCATTTCTGTTGGGTTTATACCCAGAAGTGGGAGGACTGGATCATATGTAGCTCTGTTTTCGATTCTTTGAGAAAGCTCCATACAGGTTTCCGTCATGGCTGTATCCATTTACTCTTCACCCGATAATGTACGTGGTTCCCACCGTTTCCATATCGTTGCCAGCACTGGTCAGCTCTTGTCTGTCTGACCGTAGTCATCCTGACAGGTGCAAGGGGATAGTTCACTGCAGTTTTCGCTCGCATTTCTTTGACTACTCGTGCTGAATTGCTTTTCATATACCTGTTGGCCATTTTTATATTTTCTTTAGAAGAGTGTCTATTCAGGTCTTAGTACATTTGTAGTATTATCACACAATACCACAGACTGGGTAATTTATAAAGCATGCAGATTTATTTCTTACAGTTCTGCAGGCTGGGAATTTAACACCAAGGTGCTGGTATTTGGGACCTGGTGGGAGACTCCTTGCTGTGTCTTGATACGGGGGAGGGGACTAAGGGCAAAGGCAAAGAGAATGAATGCTGAGTCCTCTCATGGTGAAGAACAGAAGGGGACAAAGGTCAAGTACTGTGCAAAGCCTCTTTGGTACTGGTGTTTTTGCGCGTGGCCTTGCACCTGCCAGACAGTGCTCTGCACTTGAGCCACACCTCTAGTCCTTTTGGCTTTAGGTACTTTTTTCAGATGGGTCTCATGCTTTTTTACCCAGGGCTAGCCTCCTACCTCTGCCTTCTGCATAGCTGAGATTACAGGTGTGCCCTACCATTCCCATCCTTATCCTCTTTTATAAAGGTTTAGTCCCTTTCACTAAGGCTCTGCCCACATGACTTACCTCCTAGAGACTCTAGTCATCATCACATTGTCAGCTAAGTTTCAACAAGTGAATTTTGGGACACATTCTGACTGTAGCAAAGTCTTTTACCCATTTAAAAGTATGATTATTAATTTATTTGTTATTGAGTTGTGTTTGGGTTTCTTATGAAATTTTGGGAATTTCCTCCTTATTGGATTTATGACTCCTGAATATTTCCTCCCAGTCTGTCAGCTGCCTTTTTGTTTTGTTAATTTTTTACTGTTTTTTTTTTTTTTTGCTAGGCAGAAGCTGTTTTGTTTGATGTAGTCCTGTTTATTTTTGCTTTTTTTCCCCTGTGTTTATAATGTTAGATCCAAATAATCATTGCCAAAACCAAGGTCTGGGAGCTTTCTCCCTATTTTTATTCTAGGAATTTTATGATTTCAGGTCTTACATTTAAGTTTTTCATCCATTTCAAGTTAGTTTTTATGTATGTTATATGAAAAGTGTCCAATTTCATTCTTTTGCACATGGCTATCCAGTTTTCCCAACGTAACTTATTTTAAAAAATACTCTTATGGGGAAAGTGCCCTTTCCCCACGTTTGTTCCTGGCACCCTTGTCAAGGATTAGTTGACTTTATATGTGTGTGTATATGTGTATTTCTGTGTTCCTTACTCTGGTCCATTGGTCAGTGCCATACTGTTTTGAAGACAGTCGCTGTGCAGTATAGTTTGAAGTCTTTGTTCTTATTATTCAAGATTGTTGTGGCTATTTGAAATCTTTTATACTTTTGTATGAATTTTAGGGTTATTTTTTCTATTTCTGTGAAAAATGACATTGGAATTTTGATAGAGATTGCATTGAATGTGTCACTTTTGGTAGTATGAATATTTTAACAATATTAATTGTTCTGGTCTATAAACATGGGATTTGTGTCTTCTTCAGTTTTTTTCAGTGTCTTAACAGTTTTCAATGTACACATCATTTCCTTTATTTGTTAAGCTATTTCTAAGTGTTTTATTCTGTTCTGATGCTGTTTAAATGGGATAGTTTATTTCTTTTTCAGGTGGTTTCATTTTAGTTTAGAGAAATACAACAGATTTTGGGGTGATGAATTTTATCATTTATAAATAGAAACAATTTCACTTCTTTAAATTTGAATGGTACTTCTTTTTCTTGCTTCTTCCTCCACACTAGGATTTCCAACACTTTGTTGAATAGAAATGGGAAGTGTGCACAACCTTTTCTTCTTCTTGGTTTTCACGGTTGAGTGTTATGTTAGCTGTGTGCTTGTCACATGTGGACATTTTTATATTGAGGTGCATTTCATCCACACAGTATTTGTTGAGAGTTTTTTATAGTGAAGATGTTCAGTTTTTGTTGTATTTTCTCTGCATCTTTTTTTTTAATCAGAAGGAGGAGAATATAATGAGATAACATTTAAAGATACTTAAAAACAATTTTCCCATTTGTCCCTTGCATGTGCTTGCATGAAAATAAAATGCATATTTAAAAAGATTGATGATTATACATAATGCTTTTTTCTTTTCAGAATTTCAGCTTAGATATGTTGTCTTGACAGGTTTTCATCTTTCTGTTTTTTTAATTTTTAAAAATTTTATTATTCTTTTATTCACATGTGCATTCGTTGTTTGGGTCATTATTCCCCCCTGCCCCCCTCCCACTCTTTCCCCCTTTCCCCGCTCAGTTCCAGGCAGGTTCTCTTCTGCCTTAATCACTAGTTTTTTTTTTAAGAAAAGACACAAGCATAATAAGAAAGACAAAGTGTTTTTGCTAGTTGAGTTAAGGACAGCTATGCAGAAATATTCCTAGCATTGCTTTCATGTACACGTGTTATGACCCATGTTGATTCAACTCTAACTGATCTTTACCCTGGTTCCTGATCCCCTTCTCATGATAACCTCTGTTGCTTTAAGGTTTCTATATTAGTTCCTCTGGAGTGGGGACATCAAATGGTTTCATGTTTTCTACCTATCCCAATAACATCCCATATGTGCTCTCCCCTTGTCATGTGACCCAAGTCCAACAACATTGCTGTATTTGCCCTAGATCTAAAAACTGCATATGAGGGAGAACATAATGATTTTTGGTCTTCTGAGCTGGCTGACCTCGCTCAGATGATGTTCTCCAGTTCCATCCATTTACCAAATGATAAGATTTCATTCTTCTTCATGGCTGAGTAAAATTCCATTGTGTACAAGTACCACATTTTCTTGATCCATTCATCAGTAGTGGGGCATCTTGGCTGTTTCCATAACTTGGCTATTGTGAATAGTGCCGCAATAAACATGGGTGTGCAGGTGCCTCTGGAGTAATCTGTGTGCATTCCTTTGGGTATATCCCCAGGAGTGGGATTGCTGGATCATATGGCAGGTCTATGTTTAGATTTTTAAGAAGTCTCCAAACTTTTTTCCAGAGTGGTTGTACCAGCTTGCATTCCCACCAGCAGGGGACTAGGGTTCCTTTTTCCCCACATCCTTGCCAACACATGTTGGTGGTGGTGTTTTTGTTGATGACTAGTATAACAGGGGTGAGGTGGAATCTTAGTGTGGTTTTGATTTGCATTTCCTTTATGGCTAGAGATGGTGAGCATTTTTTCATGTGCTTTTTTTGCCATTTGAATTTCTTCTTTTGAGAAAGTTCTATTAAGTTCAGTTGCCCATTTTTTAATTGGTTCATTGATTTTAAGAGAGTAGTTTCTTAAGTGCCCTGTATATTCTGGTTGTCAGTCCTTTGTCTGATGTGTAGCTGGCAAATATTTTCTCCCACTCTGTGGGTGGTCTCTTCAGTTTAGAGACCATTTCTTTTGTTGTGCAGAAGCTT